TTGGAAATCCCCTCTGCACTCGGCACTAAACTCTGCACTCGGCACCTAGCCCGCCCAACCGTTGGAAATCCCCTCTGCACTCAGCACCTAGCCCGCCGTTGGAAATCCCCTCTGCACTCGGCACTAAACTCTGCACCCGGCACCTAGCCCGCCATTGGAAATCCCCTCTGCACTCGGCACTAAACTCTGCACTCGGCACCCAGCCCACCGTTGGAAATCCCCTCTGCACTCAGCACCAGGATCTGCACTCCACACTAAACTCTGCACTCGGCACCTAGCCCGCCGTTGGAAAACCCCACCAAAATTTAAAAGAAGCCCCGCTAAAACCTGCCCAATAGCGTATGGCCCCATCCAACCCACTCACCGGGAATCCCGCCTACCTACCTATAGCAGCTTGCCACGTCCTCTTTCTCCACAGCCAATCAGAGCGCCCTCCCTCCCTATATAACCCCACGCCTGAGAGGAGTCAGGTGTGACTTCCCTGGCCTCTTTCCCCGGGACTACGGAACCTTCCCCGGGAGCTGAATAAATTAGCTTCTAATTGTTCTCATGCAGGCCTCAGTTTCCTCATTTTAAACTCTGCAATAGACCTCACAGAGAATAACCCTTACACCAAGGCCCACTCCGGCTCACAGGAGCCAACGGAGCCAGTGGGTGGCCTGTCCCCACTCCAGGTCTCAGCCACGTCATGTGAACCCTGGGGGGCTGCTGGGGTCACCTGGAGCGTCTTCACTCACAAGGTCAGGCGCCAGGTGACTGATCTCCCCACTCCTGAAGCTGCCCACCAGCCCGTGCCCCCATGAGGCGTGGGCACAGATGGTGTGTACAGGAGCCCTACGGAGCCCTCGCAGGGCGTTTCCTCTCTGCCCACCCGCCGCAGGCACCTCACCAGGGCTCCTGCACTCGGGTCTCTGCAGAGACTCCCAGACAAAGCCAACGCCATGGGGGCCAGGCCACACCCACCCGCCAGGACCCCCCATCACCCCCGGGGCCCCCCCCACCCGCCCGCCAGGGCCCACTGTGTTGTCTGTCACTCGCTTTGGACAACCCTGGGCCGGGCATCCACTAGGCATCCCGCACATGCTGAGTGGCTCCAGGGGAGGTGGACTGAACACTCCCAAGCACAACAGGAGGTTGCAGGGGTGGGGCCAGGGGCTGCGTCCAGGCCCGGAAGGCTGCCCTAGGGTCTGCCGTTTCCCTCAGAGGGTGTTCAGGTGGGTGGTGAGAGGAGCACCCCCCTGCTCAGTGGCCAGCTGTCCCAGCCAGGGTGCAGAGGCCTGGAGTCTACAGCCGCAGGCAGGCGGGCTTTAAAGTGGGGGTGCCTCAGCCAGGTTCTGGGGTGTCTGAGCTCCCCACTTTGCACCGGCGCTGGGCACTCAATCCTCCTTCCCTGCCCTCCCCGGAGCTGCAGAAAGGAGGCGGCTATTCGCACACAGCAGGGCGCCCCTGTGCTGGGAAGGCCTCCAGCTGAGGGACGCAGGGTAATTGGAAGAAGTGCTTGCTGGAGGCAGAAGGCGGGACCGTGGAGACAGGGGCACAAACTCTCGCCCGGGGCTAAGCAGCCTCAGGCAGGGAGCGGCTAGAGAAACATGAGAGGTACAGAAGTAGGCAGAGACAGAAACAGCACACAGAGACACCAGAGACAGCAGAGACACAGAGCATGCAGAGACATGCAGACAGCACAGATACCACACTGAGACACGCAGAGAGAGAGACCAAGACATTCAGAGATACTAGAGACACACACATACACAAAGACAGCAGAGACATGCAGACAGCACAGAGATAGCAAGAGACACGCAGAGACCCCAGAGACAGCAGAGACAGCATACAGAGACATGCAAAGACATTCAGACACGAGAGACACGCAGACAGCACAGAGATACCACACTGAGACATGCAGAGACACAAAGACACCACAGAGACAGCAAGAGACATGCAGAGACATGCAGAGACAGCAGAGACACCACCCTGAGACACGCAGAGACGCACACTTGGACAAAGCTCTCTGATGACGGCCTCCCCCGCCCCACCCGCTGGGCCTGCTGTGTCCTGCCTCACTGCTTACTTTGGACACCCTGGGCCTGGCCTCCGCAGGGCGCCTGTAAATGCCAAGTGATCTAAAGACAGGCCAAGAGGACACAGGCTCCCGGGCACTGAATGGAGGTCGCGGGTGGGGCCGGGAGCACTGATGGGAGGGACACAGGCCTGGGCGCGGAGGGCGTTTATTGGACCTGCCCTCCCCAGCTGCAGCTTGTCCAGGTTCAGTGTCCTCTGCAGGTGAGGCAAGGAAACCGAGGCAGGTGCCCCGAGCCAGGTCACCGCAGGGTCCACCTGGACCCCCAGC